TATACTCTATGTGGAGCAGTAGTACTACTGTTAGTAGCAGCAGTACAGAGGCTTCCACCTCATTTAGATGCGTGTTGTGTGTTTGTTTATCAGGGTTACAGATTGTGTCTTTAAAGAAGTGATTGAACTCTTAAAAGTGTTTCTCTGTTTTCAGGTGATCCAACCAGAACCCAGAACGAAGAGGCTTTTCTGATTAGGATGGCGATGAAGAACGTCACTTCTCACAAACACTTCATCCTCGACGGCTTCGGTGAGCTGGGAGTGTTGCGGCCCGTCCTCTTCCTCCCTTTCTCCGTCATGTTCGTGGTGTCGCTGTCGGCCAATTCCCTGCTGCTGTACGTGGTCGTTTCACGGAGAAGCCTCCACTCGCCGATGTGCGTCCTCATCGCCGGCATGGCCCTCGTGGACCTGAGCCTCCCGGTGTTCTTCGTCCCCCACATGCTGCTGAGCTTCCTGTTCGACTGGAGGGGAATCTCTCTGACCGGCTGTCTGGTTCAGATGTACCTCATTCACTTCGTCGCAGCGTTTCAGTCCACATTGCTGGTGTGGATGGCGCTGGACCGCTACTTCGCCATCTGCATGCCCCTCACCTACCACGAACAAATGGCTTTGCCAAAATTTCTCAGGTTCATCGTCCCACTCGTGGTTAGAAACATCCTCATGATCTCCCTGTTTGTGAGTCTGGCAGGAACGTTGTCGTTCTGTGCTTCCAATGTGGTGAACCACTGTTTCTGCGAGCACATGGCGTTAGTGCAACTGGCCTGTGGAAGCACCGCCATCAACAACCTGGTCGGGTTAATGACTATATTCCTCAACCCCGTGGCCGACTTCATCTTCATCGCTGCTTCCTACGTCGTCATATTCAGCTCGGTGCTGAAGTCCGGCAATTCGGGCGCCAAAGCTCTCCACACCTGCGTCACCCACATCCTGGTCATCACGGCCAGTCTGACCATCTCACTCGTTGCTTTCCTGTCGTATCGGATCACAAACGGTCTTCCTGCCGCCGTTCGGGTTTTCTTCAGCACCATGTACCTGCTGTTCCCGAGCTGTTTCAACCCAATCATCTACGGCATGAGAACGGCAGGGATTAAAAAGCACATCCTGAGAACACTGACGTGCTGAACTGGGCACCGTTTTTTAAGATGTTTCCATCATGTGGAAGCCCACTTCGCTGGTGTGTCAGAGGTGTTTCCAGTATTTAGCCCCTATAGAACACGTACAGATAATGGTGGAGTAAAGTCACATGGTCTGGTGATAAGCCAGTGGACAGAAGGCCTCTTGTTCTGGGTCTACAAACACAGCATCACTGGCTGAAGGTGTGTTTGTACCCACATTAATTGATTTCAATTAAATTTATCTGTATAGCACAAAATCACAAATTGCCTCAGAGGGCTTTACAATCTGTACAGTATAAAACATCCTCACATTGGAATAGAAAAACTCTCCCAATAAACTTTAACAGGTAAAAAAAGGAAGAAACCTCAGAGATCAACATATGGACAGAAGTGTGATAGACGTCATGTGCACAGAATGAACAACATAACAGAAATACAACACATTCAATGCATGTTAGAAATGATTCATAATGAGAGTAGTAAGCAGAATAATAACTACTGATAATAACGGCAGCAATGGATATAATAGATTAATAATAATAATTAAAGCTGCAAGCAGCGATGTACGGGCCCTCGCACCTTCCCACATCTCGGGGGTACTGGCGGGACGCCGGCAGACGTGGGCGGGAATGTCTTTGACCGTCAGACAACGCGTCCCGGAGTTTTACGTATTTTTCCCGCGTGGAATGTGTGTTGCTGGAAATTAGGTAGTGCAAATATTCCACCAGTTCCTGTATCTACTATTTGGCGCTAGAGAACACGCGCAAACATGCATTATGTTGCTCTACATCAAGTGCAGACCACATCATGTAAATGTCATGTAAATCGGATGCAGTTTGTCTTCCTGTTGCCAGTAGGTGGCGCTATGACTTTGAGTGACAATTGGCTTGTAGACATCCTCAGGCCATGACTGTTATCAAGTATGGCAAGTTTGGGACAGATTTGAGCAAGTCCAGTGGAGTTACATCAGCTTGTTGTTTAATGGCGAATCACCTACAATGGCCGCCACGCCACGGCTACACCATTCCATCAAACGTAAAGCTTTGAGTAACTTTTAATTGCAAAGGTCTTTAGATTATACTGACCAAATTTGAAAAGGATCTGACAAAGTCCCTAGGAGGAGTTCGTTAAAGTATAGCGACTAGAAATCATGGGAAAATTCACACAAAAATCAAAATGGCCAACTTCCCATTTTAGAGCATGGTCCCCTACGACTTTTTTTTAAGTCTTCATGTGATACATGTGCCTACCAAATTTCATACATGTAGGTCAAACGTAGCGCTGGGGCTGCATTTTTGAATATTTGTAGGGGGCGCTATCGAGGCAATTTGAAAGGGTCTAGCCAAAAAGCCATATGAAATATTTATTTCCATCACCTGTGACACCTGTGCAAAAGTCCAAGGCCTGTTGAGCATCCTAAGCCACAGAAAAATAAGCTTCCTTTTTCATGGTGAATGACGCATTGCCATGGCAACAGCGTTTAACGACAACTCACAATATTCACGATGAAGCATTATCAATGTCTTACGCCTTAGCTTACCAAATTTGAGACTGATCTGGGCAACTTCCTAGTCGGAGTACATCAAAGTATAAAACTTGTCATTTCCTTTTGCCAGTAGGTGGCGCTATGACTTTGTGAAAATGTTGGCATGGAAATGTGCTCAAGCCTGGACCTGGATCATGCAGAACAAGTTTGGGGCAGATTGAATAAAGTACCTTGGAGTTACAACAACTTCCTCTTTCATGGCGAACGGCACCAAATGTGCGTGACATGGGCATCACATAAAACGAAGGTCGTTCAATGTCAGTAGACCATTTTGACACAATGTGAACATATGTTACAGATTTTGTGATGATAGGCCATATGGTTTTGAAGTTATATATATTGCTGTAGAAGGCCACGTCCTATGAAGTTCATTGGGCCATATATTCTTAATGCAATGTTTCATACGTTTTGATGATATAGATCCAATAATGATTCACAGCAAATTTGGTACCAATCAGACCCAGTGTCTAGGAGAAGTGAATTTTTTTTTTTTTTTTTACAAAATTCAAAATTGCGGAAAGTTTTGGGAGGCACAGCTTAGGGTCCCAAGAGGATTTTTTGTAGAACTCATTCAGTTGCTCATGTCTGTAAAAGTTGAAGTCATTTGGACATACGGGCTGTTGGGGCTTGTCTTTCCAACTTCTAGGGGGCGCTAGCAAGCAATTTTGTCATCGAGCCAACTTCTCACTCTGAAGCAATAAAACCATAATATGTAACTAGATTTTGGGCTTTAAATCTGCATGCCAAGTCTGCTTATGTTTTGAGCATTTGTAGCCTCTCAAAATGACCTTCGTTGTTAACGGCGAAGACTGCGTCGCCACGGCAACAGCGTTTGACGAAACATCAAAAGCTTCATGAACTGGCATTATGAACTTCTTATATTTGTGTGGAACTAATTTGATGTTGATTTGATTTACCTACTAAGAGAAACAAGCCAAAGTATAAAGACTTTAACTTCCTGTTACCAGTAGGTGGCGCTATGACTGATTCAAAATTGGCCTGCAGATGTCTTCAGGCCGGGAGTCTAATCAAACATGTGAAATCTGGTAAAGATCTGATGATGTGGAGTCGAGTTACATCAGTTTATTCGTTCATGGCGAAGGATCGAAAATTCGCCGAACCGCCACGTCGTCGCCCTTCAACAACTTCTTACGATTTTCACAATGAAGCATTATCAAGGTCTTAAGGCTGTTCTGACAACATTTTAGAGGGATCTGATTAATCTGTGAGGAGCAGGATGTCAAAGTACACAACTTACAACTTCCTGTTGCCACTAGGTGGCGCTATTACTATGATTCTAAATTGTCTTATAGATGTGTTCTGGGTCAGGATGTTATGACATATGAGAGATTAATGCCGACAATTATATCATCGCGCGTTAACGCAGTTTTTTTTATTTATTATTTAGCGGACATTTTTAACACAAAAACCGGGCAGCGAGCGGTGAACAGCTGTTTGTGTGGCGTCACTTCCTTCTGCTGCCGCCCCCCCCTCCCGGGTGTGTGTGTCTCTCTCTCTCTCTCTCTCTCTCTCTCTCTCTCTCTCTCTCTCTCTCACACGCGTGCGATCTTTTCGGTACAGGATCGTGACAATATCAAAATACATATTGTACAGCTTCTTATCACCCTCCATGTACCAACGTACATTTATAACAAATACCACACATATTACGGTAATCAGCGTTGCATATGTGTCTGACCTAAATACCAAAATACCAAAAAAAGAAATGATTCATTTAAATTATTGTTTTAGAGTTTTTAAAGTGTTTTGTGTGTAATATGTATAATAAGCATCATTTAGTATCACTACTGAGAATTTAACAAACATAAAAAAACACCGTCTGAATATCTATGATCAGAATCATTATAACTGTGTTATAACTGCTGCTGTGTAAAGGGAATACTGCTGCTAACAAGAACCTGATGTGTTTAAAGTGTTTAAACCAAATGTTATTGACCTTTTGTTCATATAGCAGTACTTTCAAATAAAACTGCGCAATACACTACTTTTGAATTAATTATTGAACTTTGCGCATAACAATGAGATTAATCACGATTAAGAATTTGAATCGTTGCCCAGCACTAATATATACATACATATACAGTACATACACATAAATAAAGAAATAAGAGAAACAAATCTAAGTAATATACATATATACATACATATAAATCATGTAGGGGCATATTTCTATTATATTACATTTGATTGTATGTGTTTGTATTTATACACATGGTATGTACACGTTAGATTACATGTACATACCATACATATGGTATGTACATGTATGGTATATACGTGTACATACCATAAGTGCATCCATGCTTTCAGAAATATAATTATAAATATGTACAAAACTAATATTTCTGCTACATATTAGCACATATATTTATATTTGACTAAAATGTTTCTGTGTAGATATTTGTCCATATATGAAAGAACATAAATGAAGTCCACTTGATGTTCATTCATGGTCCGATAGACGTCTGACGAGGACACGGATCCGTCTTCAGAGACAAATAATAATAATAATAATAATAATACATTTTATTTATATAGCGCTTTTCATGAAACTCAAAGACATTAAAATCATCATATATAAAAGCAATACACTAAAAACATAAAATACACAATAGTGGTCACACATTAAAAGCAGTTTTGAACAGGTGGGTTTTGATTTGTGATTTGAACATGGAGAGGTCAGTGCAGTCTCGGATGTGTTTGGGGAGAGAGTTCCAGAGGGAGGGGGCAGATATGGAGAAGGCTCTGTCACCCCATGTCCGGTGCTTGGTCCCGAGTGGAAGGGACAGGAGGCATCAGAGGGGTGGAGCCGATGGGATGGAGTGTGGTGGTGAAGCAGGTCGGTGAGGTAGGAGGGGGCCTGATTGTGGAGGGCTTTATGAGTGAGGAGAAGGATTTTGTATTGGATCCGTTGTGGGACGGGGAGCCAGTGGAGGTTCTGGAGAACAGGGGTGATGTGGTCACGGGAGCGGGTGTGGGTGAGCAGGCGAGCAGCAGAGTTTTGGATGTACTGGAGTTTATTTAGGATTTTGGATGATGTGCCGTGAAGAATGCTGTTGCAGTAGTCAATTCTTGAGGTGATGAAGGCGTGGATCAGAGTTTCAGAAGCAGATGAGGAGAGTGATGGGCGGAGACGGGCTGTTTTTTAAGTGGAAAAAGGCAGTTTTGGTGATTTGTTTGACGTGGTGTTCAAAGGAGAGGTTGCTGTCGAACATGACTCCGAGGTTGCGGATGTGTGGGGAGGGAGACAGAGTGGAGTTGTCGATGGTGAGGCAGAAGTTGTGACCGGTTTTAGTGAGGGATGTGGGACCGATGATGATCATGTCAGATTTATCACAGTTCAGTTTGAGGAAGTTGGTTTGCATCCATGATTTAATGTCAGTGAGGCAGTTGGTGAGAGTGGAGTGAGTAGCAGTGGTAATGGCCTTTGTGGAGATGTAGAGCTGGACATCATTGGCGTAGCAGTGAAAGTGAAGACCATGTTGACGGATAATGTTACCAAGAGGGAGCAAGTACAGGATGAACAGAGTCTTCTTGCAGAGTCTTTCAAGCTGGCGCTTTCGAGATTTCA